GCTTAGTTGACCAGCTTTGTTTGGCAAATTCTTTGTTCACATTTAAATTAAAATTGTAAACAAGATACAAGGGGGAATTGTTTAAATATGTGGGAAAATAATGTTTCTTAGTAGTTAAAAGCATATACATTTCTCACTTAAACGGTAAACATATTAATAAAAATCATTTTCAAGTCGGAACCTTGGTAAATGGAGGATATAAAAAACTTCTTAATGTGTAGGTTTTTTTTGTATGTATCATTTTAAATTTTGACCCATGTAAATATTTTACCTATTCAAAAACAAAATATGTATATGCATACCTACATATAAGCAAACTTTTGTGGAGGTTTTCCTGTGTCTTCATAGACATAAGTAGAAGCCATGTAACCATGAGAACATTCCTTTGAAGATACAAAATCAAGAGAGATTTTTCTTTTTAAACATCATCCAAGGTTTTGAGAGGATCTTCCTTACTTTCTTAAAGTTGGTCTCAGTTTTTAACTTGGTAGACTTTGAAATGATTAGTTCAACTAGAGATAGAACATGATTTCATTTGAGTCAAAGTATTTACTTTGTAGTCTTATGACAAGTTACCATGGACAAATTCTAGAGGAAATTTCACCATATTCATTGTATACTTTTCTTCACATAGCCCTGGACAGGGAAGAAAATCATTATTGTTCTTCTTTTTTTCCTTTCCCAAATCATGAATGTTCTAGAGTCTCTAATAAAAAGGGTTTATGAGTCTCTTCCTAATAATTAGATTTTTTTTTTTTTGCTTAGAGAAAGAGATTTCAATTAAAAAATAATTTCCCTGTGAAGTGGGCTAATTGATTATTTAGAAAACTAACTTCTGAGTATGTGTACATATTGTTTCTGAGGGGAAGAATCAATTTAAGAGCCAGGTGGAGTTTTTTTTAAAAAATAATAGACAGTAGGATATAATTTCCAGGAGAAGATCTAAAATGTGCATCTTCATAAGTTTTATATTCTTTAATGTTTTAGTAATAGAGGCATAAACATTTAGTTTTTAAATCATGATTCTATTTTATGCAGTATTTGGAATCATTTTAATAAGGAAAGTAATTTCCTATCATAGCAGAGTATTAAAATTTATTAAAGTCCATATAGTTTATTCCTTTTTTTCTGAAGAAACTTTCTAAATACTTTAAATAACTATAGGCACATAGGTTACTTGTAATGAAGAACACTAATGGGAAGGTAAGAGTTAATAACTAGACCCTTAATAATGGGACTTTCTAGTCCAAAAAAAATCTTGTAATTGCCTCTGAAGCTAGTTGTGTAGCAAGTTGCAAGATGAAATATCTAGATTGTAGTAGTCATTCTAAGAAAAATGTTGCCTTCAGGCAAACTTTGGTACATTTATTATTATGTAAAATGCCTTTTTAATGATAAGCAACTCACAGAGTCCAAATAATTTTAGAAGTAGAAGTCCAGCGTCTCCTCTTTGCTCAAGATTAAATTAGTGTGAGCCTCTCCAATGAGCACAGCTTTTGCTCCCTTTGAAGAAAGTAGCCTTTCAGACAAACTTTATATTTGATTTGTTTGTCTTAAAAAGATATTCTCATGATTACTGCCGAGAGCTGGTAACATGTGTGGTAGTTTTCTTGAAAATTCTATTTAACAGAATGAAATGGAAAAACCTAGGGAATATTTTCAGGAAATCTTAATAGAAGAGACATGCAACTTGAAGTAGAACTTATATTACATAATTCTGCAAATGCTATATGCACCAAACTGATTTACCTTATTGTCAGTTTCCCCAAAGGATATTTAATTTTTCCCTTTGGAATTGCCCATTTTGTACCCATCCAAGCTCCTCTAAAAATCTCATCAGTCTATGCCAGAACTACAGTAGAATGACAGTTAATGAAAATAGCCTGCCTTGCCACTGCTGGGGCAGGGGTGGTGGGGGGAGCTGTATGAAAATATATTTCATTTTCAAAATGTTTCTGGAAGGACTTATTTATGGAAATGTTGCTTGTTATTTAAAACTCTTCACAAATGCAGTTTTCACAAAATACAAAAAAAAAAAAATAATCTCCTGAAAGTTTGAAAGGGGTGAGGGGGCTGTCATGTGGGGGCGGTCTCTGTGCTGCCCACATCCTCCCTCTGTTCGGTGCGTTGTGTGCTTACGGGTTCCCTGGAGCGGATCACCATATAATTGATGTGCAGTCTGCATTGCTGAATCCTGGACTGCACCATTCTGTGTTCAAGGGAAGATGTAATCTGATCCCTCTGCTGCTGAGGGAGGAATCTGTTCAGTCAAGGCTTTGACAGGGCATAGTCTCCTCCAATAATCTTCTCCGTTCTCTCTCATTATTCCCTCGAGTTCTTCTCAGTCAAGCTGCATGTATGTATGTGTGTCCCGAGAAGCGGTTTGATACTGAGCTGCATTTGCCTTTACTGTGGAGTTTTGTTGCCGGTTCTGCTCCCTAATCTTCCTTTTCTGACGTGCCTGAGCATGTCCACATTAGAATCTGTGACATACCTACCTGAAAAAGGTTTATATTGTCAGAGACTGCCAAGCAGCCGGACACACGGGGGCACAGAATCACTGAAGGGAAAAAATACAGAAAATATGGGTTTCTACGGCACATTAAAAATGATTTTTTACAAAGTAAGTAATCTGTTTTCTTCCTGTGCTGTGTGATTGTGTGTGTGTGTGCCTGCCTGAGAAGGAAAATCTGTATCATCAGAGATGGCTGCAGTATCCTCTAATTTTGGTGGGTGGCTGGATGTCTGGTATTCTGTTTTATTTCATGAATGTAAGCGAATAATGGAAAGACAGCGTGAGCTGGGAGAAGCTTTATATTTAAAATAAAATGTATATTTGAGTCTGAAAATTTTTCACTAAAAATACATTCAGACTTTAGAAATGTGGCACCGTTTAATGCTGACCTGGAAATACTCTATCCTTAGTTGGTTTTTAGTGAACCTTTTGCCTTAAATTTTTCTCTATACATTATATACATATTTTTATCTTTTTATTAGGTGATTCTTAGTGTGTAGAATCATTAGAATATTTGGTATTTATATTTAGAGAGGTCATATTTACTTTCTGTTCCCCTCAAAAAAAATTGCAGAATTAATTTTTGATTCTAAAGTCGGTATTTTTTGTAAACAGTACAGTATTTAAAAGACTTTTATGGTCATTGAGAAGGTGTTTTATTTTATAAAATAAAAATAAAATTATTTGTCAGAGGTTTCCTTCATACATATTTTTTGTACATTTTTATTCTTTGAAGGATTTCTAAGATGGAAATAAAGTTTGCTTTTAGTGGCAAATGGCATTTGCACCAATGTATTTACAAGATATCCTGGGAAGTTCTGAAACCAGTATTACAAAGTTAATTAGAATGAATATCAGAGTTTCTCATAGTATTTATGAAGATAATCTGTGAAAGTTATCAAAAAACTTGATTTTAAGGTAATCTGTACTGACTAACCTTCCGGATAGATTCATTTGTGAATGTGTATGTATATTTCTATAAATTATATACATGGAAGCACGTGGCTACTTATATATTATAGCTTTTTATATTATATTTATATAGTCATTTGCTTTTTAATGCAATTATTTAGGAAAAGAAAATAATGGATTTTGAGAGAAATCCCTTTAAAACAATGTAATGAGTAAGAAACTTCTGAAGGGAAGAAACCAGACTATTTTTTTTTCCAATATGTATTTCATGAACTAAGGTATAAATTGTGGATAAGCTGGTTGTACCCCTATCTCTTACTCCTAGTATCATAAAATCATCCTGTATTGATTAGAAGACGTCTTCATAATGATAAAAACGAAGTCTTTATTATCCTGTGTGGTTCAGAAGATTTTTAGAGTCTCTTTGGTTCTCTTTAGTATTTACACTGTATCATGCTGAGTTATGGTGTTCCTATGAGGCAATAGGTAGGAAACTAAGACTACTGCAAAATAAGGGTTTTCACCCTACTATCAAAATTAGGATAGCTACACGTCACTCTAGGTGTTCCCCCCAACTTGTAGTAATGCAGTTAATAAATGAGTGGATGCAAATCTGAAAGAAGTTGTCAAATTAGAGAAAAGTTGACTCTTATTAGATGTTATTTTCTAGTTTAAAAATAAACATATGTTCAAAGGACCCCAGTTGACTGATAGTGAAATATAAAAATATTTCAATATTGATATGACAAAATACAATCCTGAGTATATTTATGGTGTTTCATGGCATAATGAAACACCTTAAAAATATAAATGTTGGATGTATCTTATAAAAAGCGTGATTCATTTTCCTCAAATCTTTTTGTTATTGTTTCAAGTTAACATATTTGTCCGGATTGTCAGTAGAGCTATACTTTGTATATATAGCAATTGATGACTTTTTTCTTCAGCTATATTGTACCATCTCCAGATTTCTCTGATTATGGATTTACCATTTTTACTGATCTTATTGCCCATATAAATTACTTTATGCTTTAGTATGATTTGTATTTAAGATTATTTTATTTTCAGTGCTTTCTTTACCCTTTTGTAATGATATGGGTGTTTAAAATTCAGTTTCCATTCTCATTTCTGGTTTTGAAATTTTGAATTTTGTTATTTCTTAATGTTTTTAAGGAAAAATGAAGATCAATGAGGAAGGCATGTTAAATGTGGTTCTTTTCTGTATGGATTATCATGAGATTTTTCTCCTTATATCGGTTGTTAAACTGAAAAACATGAAAGGTATTACTCCTGAAGAATATGTATGATGAATGTCAATTTTTAAATCACCATACGCTGTTATCTAGAACATAAGAGCATGGGGGGGGTAATATCTTTGCAGTTTGTAAGCATAAAACAAAGTGGAACAAATAGAGGAAACCAAGAAATACTTATTTTCTGTATTAATTGACTACCTAATTTCCATTGTAGACATATGAAATTTTAAAGAATTTTTTATATTAACAGTGCTAACTCAAGATTTGATAGTTCGACTGGTGATTTTTAAAAAAATATATCTTGTTTTACCTTATAGATGAAAAGAAAGTTGGACCATGGTTCCGAGGTCCGCTCCTTTTCTTTGGGAAAGAAACCATGCAAAGTCTCAGAATATACAAGGTAATATTAAATATAATAATTTATTCTCTTGTGGTTCTCATATCTTTTAAAGCTGATAATTCTGAAAGTATCTCTTTCAGTTTATTTCCATAGAATAATAATGTTAACAGTACCTCTGACTCTTTAACATACTTCAAAATTACTGAAAATTGGGAAATATATCATTTTAAATAGGGGGAGGAACAACTACCACCGTAATTTATATTCTGTTATTAATACATTAAAGTAAGATGAGCAGAGGTTCTCTTGTGAACAAAATTTTAAAATCACAATTTTGAAGGAATTCTAAAATGTAAATCATAAAATATGAACATGAGCAAATGTATCTTGTTACTATAGCAACAACTGTTCTAAGATGGATATTTATATTCACAAAATTGGAGATAAATTTATTAGCAGTGAAATAAACACCCCAGTTACTAACTAAATCTTATTTCATGAAATTAATGTGTTAGAAATTCCCTTTTATTAGCTTGGTAGGTCTTATGTCTTAACACATACATTTCTACACCAGTAGAATAGTTTCCATAACAACTAAATACAATTGTAGTCTTGTTTCCTGCTTCAGTCCATCATTTTTGGATTTTGCATCAGTATAAAACTTTTCCCACTCTCACGCTAATTAGGCCAACTTAAGTACAATATCTATTACCCAGCCAATTAAAAATGGCTTTGGGCGTCACTTGGAATGCTGTATTTTCAAATTTAAATGACAAAAGTATCTTAAGAACTTTTTTTTTTTTTTGTATAATTGTCACTTCAAATAACTGATCCTGAGATAGCAATAAGAACCCTAAGAACTCCTTGGTTATAATACAGTTCCTTCTTTTTCTCAAAGTATTTTGACTTAGAATTATTTTTGTTCTGTAAGGTAAAAAAAAAAAAAAAAAAAAAAATTGCCCAGATATAAGGCTTTTTAAAAATTGAACATTATTACAGATTTTCTCTCTTTCTCCCCCCTCCCACCGTCTCTGAATCTTTACAGAAACAATTCATTCTTATTTCATTCAGTTATAGAAAATATTTCTTTCAAATGCTTTTTTTATGAAATTTCAAAATCATAATAATTAGAATAATTGTGCATATAAAATACAGGAGAGATGATGCAAAGGCTAAAAATAAAACTGTCTCTTAGTTATTTAGGAGCTGCATTTCTGTGTGATTTTTCTCATGTTGACTGTCCCCCTCTTTACTCCTTGCCTTTTGACAATTTTACTGTTTTGGCACTTCCACCAGAGGGTGTGGAGGGATAGAGAGACAAGCAAAACTATTCACTTCATTTTGCTTCTAACCTTAATAAAGTATTTCTTAGATGAGAAAGTTGAGTTGAATGTTGAGCCAATTGTAAATGGTCTTTTATAAATGTATAGAGTCCAGTAAGCCATATTATTTTGGTCTTCTATTACTATGGCTGAAACTAGGACAAAGTTATTAAATTGTTCACGTGTTTCCAAGGCAGCTTATCAAAAATAAGTGTTGAATTTTTATCATAGAACACATAAAGTTTGTCTTTAATTGTTCACTTTTTTATTGAGAAAACAACTGACTCTTAAATAAAATTTACTAACGCAGAATTAACCCCAATGGGATATTTTGTGTTTATTTCCATGTCTTTTTTTGGAGATTTTGTCAGTTACTAATGTATGTATTTGGTGTTTTATTTTTCACAGATAATAAAATGAAACTCATTTTTCTTTTTTTCTTTTTTTGTCTTAGAAAATTTAAGTTATAAGCACATTCTATTATTGTGGAGAATGAGAAAACTGAAATTACCTTTGAATTTAAAAGAAAAGAGGATAGACAATTATTGAATATTAGAGATTAACTTAAATGTGTGTTAAAAGATTCAAAGATTACAGGAATGAAGATTTTTATGTAAAATACATTCAAATACATTTCATATCAAAAAAATGAAGAAAACATTGGGGAAGTTGTGTCACAAGTAATTTAACAGAGCTTAACACTCGACTATTATGATACAATACGTATGTGATTTTTGGATTTAGAACACTATTATAACTCAAGAAATTAAGGATTATTCTAGAAATGTAATTTTGTTAACCAAGCTAAACCATCTTCTCCTTTTTTTTTTTTTTTTGGTAATATCTCTAAAATAGAAATGCTCAATATTTGCCTTGAGAGTAAATAATTTAATTGGATACAGAAATTTAAAAATAAAGTTTAATATGTCAATAACATATCTATGTTCTTCCTGCTATTAGTTGTTTTTAGGAGAGTTAGACAGTTTTTAAGCCAGGTCATTTGGTCTTAACCTCTTTCATTTTATACTAGATGCAGATAAGTTCTTCACACTTAATTTGAATAACTATACATCTAATCAAGGCTGATTCTCATCAACTATCAGACCAAGCTTTATAAATAACAATTAAGAATTAGATAGCAACAGAGTATAATTATGAAGGCATCTGGGCAAACTTAAGGAATTGTTTGACTAGTGATATCCAAAACCTTTGAATATTCTGTTTATATACTGGAGTTTTTAAAAGAGTCTCAAACTCCTTTTTATAAAGAAAATTTAAAATTTAAACTTTATGTCTTAGAAGAGGGCCTATATATTCTAATGAAATATTTGATTGATTGGTTGATTGGTTGTGGCTGGATATTAAACCCAGGGCCCCATGCATGCTAAGAACATATTCTAAATTGGAGCTACATCCACAGCCCTAAGGAAATATTTTACCATTATTTGTATGTATGTATCTGTGACTTGCAGTTTTGCCATAGAGATTCTGTTATTTGGTTGCAGTTAGCATTGCTGGGATAATAACAGGTGGTTATGTAGGAGGGAGGAAACTTACTCCAAGAATAGCAAAATGGGTTTTGTGTACTCATGTTCTCTGGGAATAAGCAAATAAAAGGAATAATTGGATTGATGTTTGAAATATGCCCAGGTCATCATCCTTTTTATTAAATAAGCATTCCTTATTTTTAAGAAATATATGTCTTTGCTTCTACTCTGTGTGTGTGTGTGTGTGTGTGTATATATATATATATATATATATATATATATATATATATATATATACACTTTTTTTTTTTTTTTTTAGTACCACTGGGCTTGTGCCATGTTCAGCAACACCAACAACTTTTGGGGACCTGAGAGCAGCCAATGGCCAAGGGCAACAACGACGTCGGATTACATCTGTCCAACCACCTACAGGCCTCCAGGAATGGCTAAAAATGTTTCAGGTAACATTTGTACACACATTACTTGAAATGTTTTACTTAACTGCTACAAAAAATAAGGGACATTCACCCATAAAAAAAGAATGAAGTTACATGTAACCCTGAAAATGAGTCTAGGGAACATTATACTGAGTGAAAGAAACAAGACACAAAAGGCCACATGTTGATTCTGTTTATATGAAATATTTAGAATAGGCAAACCCATAGAGACAGAAAATAGATAAGTGGTGGCCAGGCAATGAGGGGAGGAGATGATTGAGACTACCTGGTACTAGGTGTAGAGTTTCTTTGGATGGCAGAAGTGTTGTAGAGCTAGATAATAGAGGTGATGGCTACACATCAAGGTGGGTGTGCTGGGAACCACCTAAGTGTGTACTTTGAATGGCGAATCTGTGTGACATGTATCTCAATAAAATGCTATAAAAATAAGGGAGCTCGTTTTAACTTCTAAATGTACTAATTAAGAAAGTCTAATGCTTGTTTTCTGATGTACATTTGCATTTTTATAGATTATTAAGCAATAAGACCATTTTTCTTTTTCTTATTCATCTTTGGGTCTTGGGTTGTTGAATGTACTCTTATTTTTTAAATTGCATTGCTTGTAAATTAGGGACTTTCAATTAATTTAAGAACTCCAGTAATCACTGGAGGTGACTTATTTGTCACTACAACCCCACTGGAGTTGATGAATGCATCTTCTTCTTATCAGTGACATGCGTATATATGACTCAGCATGCTCCATTTCCACTAACTATCTTTTACTAGTATTTAAATTCTTTGAACATTTACTGGGTAGATTGGTTGCTATCAAACCTTGAATATTATGAATTTTATAACTTAAGATAGTGATATTAAATTGATTTATCTCTTCTTCCTGTGAGATAATGCATATGAATCAAGTGTTTAGCAAAATAGTTGGCATGGATTAAGCACTTGCTTAATTATTCTTTGCAAACAGTAAATAGAAATGATGTGAAGATCTGATATTATCTACCATACTAATGTAAAAATGAATATATTTTACTACTTCTGGCTGCTTGAATTGTTGGGTACATAATGAATGCACAAGGAAATAATAGTTGAAAAACATACTTCATTTGACTTCATTTGCTATTTCAGATTTTTAAGATGTCATCTTATGTAAATCCTACTATTTCACATACCTAGGCAAAAACAGAATAAATATCTCATTTTTTTTCTGGGGGTGGAAAACTTACTTAAAGCAATGTTGCTTTTAAGTGGATTTTAAAATTTGTTTTCTACCCTCCAGGTGATTTCAGAAGCACTAGGATATAGCCAATTTGAGGAAGGGATGGTAACTGAAAGCTTAGAACGCTGATATTCAACAGGGGTCACCTTCTCCCCTAGTTGAGAGAGCAGTGTCTGAAGACACTTGTGGTTGTTAGAACCGTGGGGGTGGATGGCCACTGCTGTTATCTAGAAGGTGGAGGCAGTATAAAAGACAGCCTCCCACAACAAAGAATTATCCAGTCCAAAGATTAAGAATCTCTGGGTTAGGGAATTAAAGTTATATTTAATTCTTATTAAAATGTTATGAAGCCGGATGCAGTGGTGCACGCCTCTAATCCAGGAGACTTGGGAGGCTGAGGCAGGAGGATCACAAGTTTGAGGGAAGCCTCAGCAACTTAGTGAGGCCCTAACTAACATAGCAAGACCCTATCTCAAAAAATAAATAAATAAACTAATTTTTTTTTTTTTTAATTTAAAAAGGGCTGGGATGTTGCTCAGAGGTAAAGTACCCCTAGGTTCAATCTCCAGTACTAAAGAAAAAACAAAACAAGTTATGAACCCACTGCAAATACAACCCACTGGCTTTTTTTTAAGTAAGTTTTCATAGTCATTTGTTCATGAAACATACCTTTTCTGCAAGAATTATTCCTACCCATGCCCTCCCCCTACATTGTTTTACCTCAGGTTCAGGTTTTTTGAATTTTTATTTTTTCCCCTTTCCCCAGAATTCTGAGTGTTTTATTTTGTCCCATTCTTGTAAAGGAAATTTATACATCAATAAGATTTGAAAATAAAGCACAAGACATTTATATATTCTTTTAAAAAAATATTTATTTTTTAGTTTTTTTAGGTGGACACAATATTTTATTTTTATGTGGTGCTGAGGATCAAACCCAATGCCTCATGCATGCCAGGCAAGCACTCCACTACTGAGCCACAACCCCAGCGCGTCCCCCCTTTAAATATTTATTTTTTTAGATTTTTAGGTGAACAAGACATTTATATATTCTTAAAGGAATATTTAAAGATTTCTATTGTCTCTGATTAAGCCAGGAGATGGGTGTGTAGGTGTGTGTTGCCATGCTTGTAGGCGAATGTCAGTTTACAACACAGCACTGAAGAGGATTGCAGAGCTGATTTCTTATTTTTTTGTACCGGAGATTGAACCGAGGGGTACTTTACTATTTTTTTTTTCTATATTCTTTTTTTTTTCTTTTTTTAATTTTTATTGGTTGTTCACAACATTACAAAGCTCTTGAGGTACTTTACTATTGAGCTACATTCCCAGTCCTTTTGATTTTTATATTTTGCTTAGTTGCAGAGGGTCTTATTAAGTTGCCAAGGCTGGCCTTAAACTTGCAATCCTCTTGCCTCAGCCTCCTTAGTCACTAGGATTACAGGTGTAATTCTGCCGGATTCATATCATTTTTGCAAGAATATACTAACATGATTGAAAATTACCCGATTAGCAATGATTTTATCATCATTGTGGACAGCTTTTGATTGTATGTGAAAAGATTTATTTCTTAGAAGGTTATTTAGAGTTAAGATTTATTTTCATGTGATAAGGCCCATTTTTTTCCAGTGTTTTAAAGTACCAAAATATTTTTTGCAAACCAGTTAGGATATCTGTCGATTTTAAGGGAACTCTTTAATATTGATCTATAGTTTAGGGCATTTATGTTTTATTTTGCAGTAAGGATATTTGAGAGAGTTCTTTGATACAGTGTTTGTTTGTTCAGTTAGCTTATGCTTTCCTTTATCAATTGTCCAAATGTTACCACTTGCTGTATTTCATCAAATCTGAGACTATAGATCCCAATTTCAGAAACATTAATTGTAAAAGCCAAAATGAGAAACTGTTTTGTAGAATCAATGAGACTCAATAAACTAAAGAGTGTTAGCCAGCTTTGGGCCCAATACAAGTATTTGTTCATTTGAGAAGTAGGTACAGTGAAGAAAACCTGTTCTTAATTAACAGGAATAACATGGAATTATCCTCAAAGATAAAGAACCATAATTTTTTTAGATAAATATTATTTAGCAATCAAATCTATAGCAATAAAGAACAATTTGACAGGTAGATCAGGACCTTAATCTTCTCAGTACCATGTGTGTCTTGTGACACAACCAGAACTTCATTGTCATAGATTGCCCCCCTTTTTTAGGGCTGATGCCAAAGTAACTAGAAATGAATCATTTACCTAAAGGCTTACAATGCTTTAGTGCTTAACTTATAGGCAGATATAATTTCATAGTAAAGTGGGGGAGTCATGAATTGACCTATGTGGTACAGTTGAGGGATAATTAAACTGGCACGATTTCTACAGATATGCTGTGGCGGCATTTAATGATGATTTTTCTGTCTCATAACAAACAAAATGGGAGATCTTGTACTCTTACTGTCCTCCTATTGCTCCTAAGGCAGTGATACAGCATTGTTTGGGTCCAGCTCCATCTATTCTAACAAAAGTATTGTGTACTCAATTTGTATATCAAATGAGAACAAATGATACACCATCATGGATAAGAGGAAATTAAAACACACAGTGCTACTACAAAATAGAAGTGCAAATTAAAGACAAAAATTAAAGAAAAACCAAAAGTTTTACTGTTTGAATTTTCAGTAGTCATGGATTTACTTTCTACTTTTATTTTGCAGCCAAATTGAAGCTTCAGATTGTTAATTTTGAGGGAGATAGTTGGTCTTTTTTGGTTTGTTTATGTTCTTTGAGTGTTAATATATGGTTTCTCACTTGAAGTGTTTAGACTAGGTAAAGACTAATGGCATTGGCATGAACATTCTTTTTTTTTTTTTTTTGTAAAATTTATGTTCCCAGGCATCCTGAAAGAATAAGCATATATGACCTAGATGGAAAAGCTCTTAGTTCCAATTTTGGTTTTGCCTCTTAATAACTGGGTAATTTTATTATTGTTATATAACCACTCTTCCCTTTATATTTTTACTCCATAAAACAAATATAACACTATGAATTTATCAAAAGGAAGAAAACATGTAGGTGTGTTTAAAGCTGTCCTTGGAATTACAGTGGAGACCATTAAGTTTAGCTTTCTCCACTGGTCAAGATACAGCCTTTGTGGGCCCCAGTTTTCTTGGTCATAAAAGGGGCTGTCAAAAATAGTAGTTTCACATCCTACCATGAGGATCAAAGAAATATGTGGAGGAACTCTAACATTGTATAAATGTCATTAGTTTCAAAGTATTTTAATCAAAGCATATTTGCATTGAAGCTATAAATGTCTTTTGAAAAGATGTTACACTCAAAGTAATAAAAATGATAAAATATAAAGTACTTCTGTTTTGATATCTAAATGGGAGTCAACCCCATTTAGATTTAGAAATTGAAGGATTTAATCAAGTTTCATGCTAACATAGAAGCTGTACATATCTTCTGATATATTTTATACAAATCTTGTTTGCTAATCAACAAAAGATTAAAACCTACAGGATAGTGCCCAAAGAGGCTAAGTTCATTATTTCTTTGAAATTTTATTAGTTATAATATGAGAAACCTTGTTAAACCTTATGTGGGTGAGTTGAAGAAAATCATGTATTTGACCAGAGAAGACTAAAGGAGAATTTCATATGTCTTGAATATTTGAAAGACTTTTACATTAAAAGTAGAAAGAGGCTGATTCTTGGTTTCTTCAAAAAATAAAACCTGTGTTGTGTTCTCTGGGTCAGATTTTGATGTCAAGTAGAACTTGAAAATTAGAACTGGCCCACAGTGGAATGGTGGAAGTACTATAGAAGTCAGTTATTTCCCACATGCAATTCAGGCCTGGACCTGACTTGCATGGAGCACTAAGGATCACCTATACCAACACTGGATGAGTTGCTTTTTTTAGAAAAATAAATATCCTCAGCTGCATCTTGACCACTGAAGCAGACTCTCAGGTGGTAGATTGTGGGACTATGTGATTCCTGTACTCATTGGTCAGCTTTGGGGGACCACTGGTCCAGACTAAACCCTTATAATGTAGGTGGAGTTTCTGAAACTTCATCCACTTGCACAGTGAGTTTACTGGTAAAGTTTGGGCTCCTGGTTACATTTCCCTGCCCCTACTACTCTTCTGTACTACCTGTGTGCTCCAGTTCCTAAAATAAAATGATATTTCCATGGGGAAATTTTCAAATTTATATTTGCAGTTTTGCCCACAAATTAAAATTTGTTTCTCTTGAAGGAGGATGGGAAGAAGACAGGCAGGCCACCTTATAGGTATCTAAAGTAGAATGTGATTGGGAACAGCAAGTGAAAGGCTCCCAGGCAGAGCATGCCTGGAGTGTTTGAGGCCTAGAAAGAATGTGTGTGGCAAAAAAAGTAAATAAGAGGAAAAGGAGTAGGAAATTAGAACCTTGTGGGCCAAGCAAAGACTTTTTATTTAACTGAAGTGGAAAGCCAGTAGAAGGTTTGAAGCAGAGGATTACTGAGTACTGAGTGGAGAATAGAAGGAGCAGGGCAGAGGTAGGACGCTGGGAGTGCAGCCAGGGGGTTATGCCAACAGTTCAGGTGAGGGATACTTATGGCTTAGACCATGTAATAACGGTCAGATTCTGGGTGTGTTTTGATGTTTGAGGCCACAGAATTTATTTGGGTCAGAGCCATCTGTTGGTGAGAGAGAAAGAGGAATCAGGGATGACTCTAGTTTTTGGCCTGAGCAAGTTGTAGAACAGAATTGTGTTTTACTGAACCTAGCAAGACTATGGAAGTGGAGATTTAGAAGGAAAGATGGAGGACTAAATTTCATTTACTATAGTTATAGTTTATGTTCCTAATCCTTGTTAGTGATATACTTTTCAATAAATTAGCTCAAGGTAACATTTACTGAATGTGTATGTAATTTGAATTGAGACATAATTTAAATTTCATTTGACTCTTGTTAAGTCAAATATTCTTTCAAATCAAAATATTATCCAAAATACTGTTTACTCTTAGAGACATTTTGCTATCCAGGCATAAATTTTTTCATGAACTTTCTCTTAAATATATAGAAATTTCTGACACAATTTCAAACATTTACTTAAGAACTGAATTATTTATCTTCTATTCTGGTTTATTATTCTATTCTACACCTGTCTATTAAAAGATTTGATAAAAGATATTTCTCTTCTATTAGCATCATATACTTTGTATTGATATTATTATTTTTCTATTCTCTTAAAAAAATCAATAATTCATTAACTGGAAAAAAAACATTGAACATGTATGGCTTATTACCTTAAATTAGATATAGTATTTATTAATCAAATGCATACCTGTTTAACATTTAAAGTAGTAAATACATTGAAAGATTTTTCACTGTCTTTTTACTATAGAAATTTCCATGGAATGTCTTGGTTGTTAAATCAAAATTTTTTTTAGATATTTATTTTTTAGTTGTAGTTGGAAACAATACCTTTATTTTATTTATCTTTATGTGGTGCTGAGGATCAAACCCAGGGCCTCGCATATGCTAGGCGAGTGTTCTACCGCTGAGCTACATACAGCCCCAGCCCCTTAAATCAAAATTTAATCATGAACAGATCCAAAAATATTTTTAAAGCAGGCATTCATATAGGTGAAGATTTTTATTCTAAAATTATTCTATCAAATGCCTTTCTTTAAAGCCACATTTTAATTAAGTCAGCAGACTTTTCCATCACCCGAAATGGGCATGTCCTTATGGTAGCAGTGTCCACAAACCCCTATGATGTAGATTTGAGGGAAAACACATTATAAAAAGCCACCGAAAATCCTGCAAGAGATGTACATCAGTAAGTCAGTGAGTCTACACTGTGGGTGCTGAGTGGTCAGAGATGAGTAGAGATTGATCAGATTGTCAGATAGGCAAGTTTTGGGTCAGTGTTTAAAGTTATATGAGGGAAACCAACAAAATTCTTAGATGGTTGTAATTGACCATGTGTGTGAACACATGTATATAGTGTTTTTCATTTTTATGTGTAAATCCTCACTCTGACCAAAAAGTATATAAGGTACATATTTGATGAATGTTCCGAACATATATGTTGAAGTAAAAGGAAAAAACCCCCACAATTTATTGGAGCCTGTGGTTCCTTATATTAGGTGGTGAAATGGAGTATATTATAGAAATAGCTAAATACTATTGAAATATTTCATAGTATTACCATAATCTGTACTTAATGCTAGGAAAGAAGACAGGTTCATTATAAATTCTAAAAGTGTAAATACTTTAAAAATGCTTTAGGAAATATTCTGAGTAAGGCTTTTTGGATGCTTAATATATCTCAGTATTTCAAATATAACAAAATCCAAGAAATGGAGTATCAAAATGCAGATCGTTCTAGCTCCAAACCTCACTTATTATTCTCTATTCATTCTGCTTCTGAAATGGACATTATAATTCACAAAGGTACTCAAGTAGGCATAGATTTACAGAAGCAAAGGCTCACCCAAGGGTGTTTTTTCACTTAAGTATCCTTAGTTATTTAAATATTTTGCATGATTATTGTTAAATTTTAACATTTTAAATTATTTGCATGGGTTTTAAGTTTTTCTATAAGAATCTTGGCTTTTCTATGCAGGTGCTCCTCACTGGGGTGGGGGGGGTAATTTAAAAAAAATCCTTAATGTCCTTTTTTAAGTATAATAATGTTTTTGTTTTTCTATGGTAATAACATTTTGTTTCTTATTATCATTTGGCCTTTGCTTATATTTTGAATAATACTGTTAGCTATTATTTTCTATTATTTGCTGTTTTTGTCTGAAATTATTTTCATAAGACAAATCAAATCCCCTTTATTTGTGAGAAGTACTTCTCAGATATGCAGAATATCCAGTTATTAGTTCTTCTCTAAATGATGCTGTCAGTCTCCTCTTAGGTGAGTGTCTTATGGAGACCATCAAATTTAATGGTGCCTACTGGAAAGAATATAGAGAAAGAAAAATTAGTCAAAATTCTTTATGTACTCAGTTACCCAAATTGATGTTTCTGGAATAAAATTTTGGTATCTCAATGGTATCATAGTTGTAGATGAACAAATAACTATCATCATAATGTAATACAAAAATATTTTCTCATAACTTTTAAAGCTTTGATAATATAAAAAACAGTAAACTTCAGACTAAATCATATCACTTCAGTGGATTCTGGAGAAAATGTGATATAAGCAGCCACTTTGTAACATACAGAGTGCTTGCTTACTTTGTTCAAGTGTGGTTGTGTGTTTTCCTTTATGAGTTTCTAACTTGGAACATCTGTTAAAATAATAAAAAATTCTAATTCCTCTTTCATAGAGCTGGAGTGGACCAGAGAAATTGCTTGCTTTAGATGAACTCATTGATAGTTGTGAACCAACGCAAGTGAAACATATGATGCAAGTGATAGAACCCCAGTTTCAAAGAGACTTTATTTCTTTGCTCCCTAAAGAGGTAAGGATGATCAGTCACAGTGTTCAGTGGGTGTTTTTTGAATATGTAACTCAACTGCTACAACCTTTAAACATTGTAATACTAATTGTGGTATTCAGCATTTTCAGTTTAACACTCTCAATTTGTGGTCAAGAGGGCTTTAAGTTGGTAAACTGCCATGACTTAATAATGTAATTATCAAATTAAAATATGCTTATGAACTAAGTTACTTCTTTCTACAACTTGATTAAGTCAGATATATGAGACTAATCATTGAGTTTCATTCATTTTATTGTTTCTTTACCAAGATTTTTCCCTATGTTATCTGAAGCCCAACGTTCAGTTTTCTTGGTATGTTCATTATTTATAGTGTGGATTTTTAAAAAGTTCTGATTTTATCAAAACAATTTTTTTTCCCTTATTTTGTCATTTATGTATCCTAAGTCCCTTTAAGACCAGTAGTTTTTTTGATGCTATTGAATTGTGGCTCTCTGGTACTTAGATTATATAATTATTTTTAAATGTATAGAATTCTACATGTATATCTTTTTCTACTACTCATTCTCCTCTTTGACTCCATTATACACACACACACACACACACACATACACAAACATACACTCATACCAATTACATTTTTTAAAATATTTTTTTTTAAAAGAGAGAGTGAGAGAGGGGAGAGAGAGAGAGAGAGAGAGAGAGAGAGAGAGAGAGAGAGAGAGTGTTTTTAATATTTATTTTTTNAGAGTGTTTTTAATATTTATTTTTTAGTTCTCGGCGGACACAACATCTTTATTGGTATGTGGTGCTGAGGATCGAACCCTGGCCGCACGCATGCCAGGCGAGCGCGCTACCGCTTGAGCCACATCCCCAGCCCCTTAAAATATTTTTATTAGTTGTTGATGGACCTTTATTTTATTTGTTTATATGTGGTGCTGAGAATCCAACCCAGTGCCTCACACATGCTAAGCAAGCGCTCTACCACTGAGCCACCAGCCAGCCCCCCAGTTGCATTCTTAATAGCACTTTTTGGAATTATTTGTGCCCATTTCTTTCTTTCTTTTCTTTTGTACCATAGATTGAACCAAGGGAAGTTAACGTCTGAACCACATCCCCAGCTCTTTTTAATATTTGTTTTAGAGACAGGGTCTCACTGAATTGCTTATGACCTTGCTAAGTTGCTGAGGCTGGCTCTGAACTTGGGATCCTCCTGCTTCAGCCTCCTGAGTTGCTGGGATTACAAGCATGTACCACTGCACCTGGCATCTTTTTTGGTTTTTGTGTAAACTGATATTATTCTTTTGTCATGGATTGATTATGGTCATATGGGCACTCTTGACTGAACAAGGTATAGTAGATATAGTGTTGTTATTGATGTTATAGATTTCATAATTTCATTTTTGTTAGCAGACAAATAATATAACATTAAATAATTGATGTCCCCATGATTTATATTTGTACCAATTATCATGCCACTAATTATATGTCCACCCAGAAGACAATATAAAATTATCCTAAAGCTTCAAGTTTAAACAGAAAAGGAGTTGAATTTTTTTCAGATAATCATTCTAAATACCCTAACAATATTAAATAGTGCCAATTATAATTTTACATTGGTTATGAATAAAATAGTGTTATATTTAAGCATAACTTCAGGGAGAAGCAAAATTGATACAATATCAATTTCTTGAAATGTTTTTTCTTTGGAGTGTTTTTTAAAATGACATTGATCCAGAAAAAAATTTTTATTCTTGGTAGTTCTTTCTAAAACTGAATCTTCTCAATAGATTTGGCTTATAAAAGTGACATAAGCTCTCTTTGCTTCCAGGAGGGCATTAATAAAAGGAAACACTTTCATAAGTATTTGACTGAAAGTAAATGTATTCACCTCTGATATATTTTTTATGGTTTCTTTTGATATCCTCCTTACTTTGGAGGGTAGCATTTTTGTTAAAATGCAGTTTTCAGAGTCTAGTTTATTCCCTTATCTCTGAGAATGGAGAGGGGTTTTTTTTTCATTGTTTGTTTGTTTGTATGTTTTGCTTTGCTTTATTTTCATTTCTATAGTAACTTCTTAATACACAAAAATGTGATTTACACTCAGTAGAATTTTGAAAGTATTTTTAAAGAGTCCAAGAACTTAGCACAAATTATCAATATCAAGGGTAAATCCAGTAAAGATTCTGTTGGCTTAAATGTTCTTTTAAAAGTTGCTTGAAGATAAAGAAGTGAAGCTAGAGAGGAGAATAAGAGAGATCCCTAGCTTAGCATATTATCTGTGTTTTTCCTTTTGTTTTCAACTACAGAATGCTTCCTAATTTGAAAAATGCTTTATTTTATACATGAAGAAATAATGGCATAGATCTTCCCTTAAATTAATTAGCTTTATCTTGCCCAGAGACTCAGTATTATCATTATTTAAAACATTATTACCTCTGTGACAGGAGATGGAATTATAGTGTTTTTCTTAAAATTATTTGGGAAGATCTCAAAGCTATTTACCAACATTTACTTACTAATATGAAAAACCTTGACAAAAATGGCACTAGTGTCATAAGAGAAGCTTGTGTTAAATAGCACTCTCCTTATTTTGTGAGTAAATACCAAGAGAATCATAGTGGTATAATAGATAATCTAGAACAAAACCTGATATTCTTGATGTAGGATTAGCCAACATTCTCTTTGTTCATTTAAATTTTTTTCCTTGACAGTACACTGAAATATAGCAAGCCTGGGAAAGTATTAGCCACCTCTAAAGTATAAAATTGTGGTCTGTGTCCCCTAATAAGGATCCTGTCTTAGTTCAAGCTACTGTAAAAAGTATCACAGACTGGTCATCTTATAAGCAGAAATTTATTTCTGACAGTACTGAAAGCTAAGAAGTCCAATATCAGGGCACCTGCATGGTTGGGTTTTGGCGAGGGCCCTCTTCCAGGTTGTAGACTTCTGTCTTCTCATTGTATCCTCATAAGGTGTGGCTGAAAGAGGGTAAGAGGGTTCTCTGGGTTCATTTTCTAGGGTACTCATTCCATTCCTAAGGGTTTCATTCTGATGACCTACAAAAAGCCCCACTTCCTAAAAACATTACATTGGGAATTAGAATTTCAACGTGAATTTGAGGGGACACAAACATTCAGACCCATTTCAGAGCCCCGTATGACAGAACCTTGATTCCTTTGAGGAATTGGTACACTTCTCCATAATACACAGTTAGGATCATATAACTTATAGCTGTTCCCTCTTTACTTGACAGTTTAACTCAAAACCCATGTAAGACACTGTTGCTAGTATATGCATGATCTACTTTCCCCTGGTTTAAACCTTCTTTGCTGATTTATGTTTTTCCTGGCTTTTTTATTCATAGTTTTCTGTTTTGCCTTGAATAGTTTCTCTATTAGCTATATGTTTCAATTGAACTAGCTGTATGTAAATTGACAAACATTTAATAATTGCAAGTTCAAGGTTAAATTGGAGCCTCTGCTCCTTTAAAAGACAGCTTGTCAGTTACCTATTACACTAGCACTTCAGCTTTCCTTAGCACCTGAGTGTTGCTTTGCATTTTTCTAATGCATCCAAACACTGGACTTGGATGAAAAGAAGGAAATTTTTCCTTTTGGTTTGAAGAGGTACTTTTGAATTCTCAACTATTCTCAATTTCTTGCTTCCTTGTCCCTAGCCTTTAAGATGAGTTGAATGTTTCTGTAAATTACTTGGTCTCTACTTCAGTCTGATAACTCAAGAAAAAGAATAGACTTTTTCATGTGAACCATTATAATATCTTGAACATTAATCAGCATCTCTTTTGACAAGTATCTTTGTGCTGGACAATATCTATATTGAATTACAATTTCACATAGATTAATAATATGGTAACTCACATTACTGTTAACAATGAAACTAAACAAACTTGCCTAGGCTTTGATTGATGAGTAATTTTAAAATTAAGTAGCTTGTAGAGTACCCGTTAATCAAATAAAATGTTGAGAGATGTATGTACACATATGTTTATATACACATGTATATATAGGTTATTGAATATAATCATGACCTTTTATTTTAAATGAACTCGGTATGTGTAGGTAAGAATGATCTTCTGATAGAATCAATTAATTCAAGAAAAGTGTTTCACTTTTATTCATCAATAGTAGTATTAAGCTTCGTACTGTCTAGGTGGAGTGTTTTGTATGCAGAATGTGCTCAGAAAGTATGTGATTAGAAGTGAACTCCATATATATATAAAATCATTAGGAAACCTTAATTTAAATCATGTAATTCTCATTTAGCTTTGAAAAATAATTCAAATCATACTTTCACTTCCTATGTAATCTTTGGCACTTTAAATGGTAGTTTGACTTAATCCTTGCCATTTAGTTTATAAAAACTAGACTTTGGATAAATTTTCATTCTAATATTGTAATTTAAATTTGTATGTGATGTGTGAGGCTACTTGAATAAGCATGATCAAAGGCCATCACTTCACTTCTTTTCCTTCCTTTTTTTTTACTTGACTTGGTTTCATACAATGGAAAAAAAATGATGGTTTGCAAGTATTATAAACAAATATTTTAAATTAATAGTATTCCAAAGAGCTAGCTGAAATATACAACTCTCTGTGACCCATCGAGAAAATCCCCATAAGCAATGTAAAGTAATTAGAACCCAATTACTTTTATGTGTCTGTGGAATGACTTAATAATTGTCTCATTTTGTCATTTATAGTCAAGTGTGTAAATGTTTTAGAAGTTTATCATTGTGATAAATAGTTTGATGTGATGAAGAATCACTAATTGTGATATCTGCCTATCTGAAATGATAAAAAATTATGTAGAACTCTCATTTCTTACCAGTCAGGCTATCAGGAAGGCCTCAGGTTCTGTCTTCAGTGAACTTGCATTGTAGAGGGGAGAGAACACAAGTATATATAATTACATAAAAATTAAACTTATTGTGGTGAGGTTCACAGAGCAAAGGCAAGAACAGAGACAGAGGTTTAATCATTATTGTATAAAGAGATAAAGAGTTAGTGCAGTGAAATTCATAAAAGCCAAGAGGGTGTTTTTGTTTCTAATCTAGTTTATATTTGTTAAAATTGGAGTTACTGTCTATCATAATTTTACAAATTATAATGTAATTACACTTATATCTAAGTGTTTTATCCTGTGGAGAATAATTAACCTTTAGTTCTATAATTTAAAAAAAATATATATATGAGTATCCAATGTTTTCTTCTGTTCAATAGCTGGCACTTTATGTGCTTTCATTCCTGGAACCCAAAGACCTGCTACAAGCAGCTCAGACGTGTCGATACTGGAGAATTTTGGCTGAAGACAACCTTCTCTGGAGAGAGAAATGCAGAGAAGAGGGTAAGGTTCAAAATTACACAGAGAATATGCTTATGCTTTGAAAAGGCAAAGTAATTCTGAGAACAAGTAGACAAAATAAAAACAAGTTTTATGTGCAGCTAGAATAAAGTGGTGGATAAATGAGTAAAGAGAACTTTGGTAGCCTATCAAAGAATGGATCTTCATTTAAGGGAAAGAGTCAAGATGAGGATGATTTAAAGGCAACCCAAAAATTATATTATCAATTGAATACCCAGCATTGAGTATTCTATTTTTTTCATCATAAATATTTATTGAATACCTCCTGTGAGCTAGACATTCTTAAATGCTGAAGATATAGAAGCATCTTGCCTTTTTGATTTTTTTGTTTGTTTGTTTTTCCTGTCCTGGAGCTTATATTCTTAGAACCTGTTTAAAATCAGAAAATCTGTTTTAGTAGAAGAGTAGGCATCATCCATATTAAAGGGAGTATTTTTCCCCAGCAGCCTTCTAGAAAATGAATCATTTGGACAAAAAAAAATATGTAAAAATATCATTTGCCTCTGAGAAGCAACATTTTTGTGAAAGAATCGTAGAGGTACTGGTAGCCATATGGGGGGGACTCCCTAACTGTATAGTCAAGGAGAGCATTGATGGTTGGTCTGGGTTAATAATGCCTTGAGGTGAAGCTCCACACTTGATTTCTAATCCTGATTCTATCAGACCCCTGTCTGAATCTTGGATTAATCAATGAAATTATTCTTCTCATGTATGCATATATATAATGTAGGATTAATCAACTCTGCCTCATCTCTCAAAGAATCATATTTTAAACTCTTCAAAAAAATTGCATAACATACATAATAAAATTTATCATTTGAATCATTTTTAGGTGTACAATTTAGTGCTGTTAAGTACACTGGCATTGTTGTGCCACCATCACTGTCCATAGCTGCTTCATCTTATCTAGCTGAAACTTGGTACCCATTGAACCTTAACTCCTATTCCTCCTTCCCCCTAGCACCTAACAAACACTTTGTCTTTATAAATTTGATTAATTTAGATACCTTTGGTAAAAACACACAATATCTGTCCTTTTGTAATTGCTTTATTTCATATAACATAATGTCTTCAAGGTTCACCCATGTGGCAATATCTCCTTTTTTAAGATCAAATAATATTCCATATGTGTGTATGCCACATTGTTTATCCATTTATCTGTCAATGGACACTTGCATTGCTCCCAGCTTTTAACTATTTTGTACAGACATCTATTYGAGTCTCTGCTTTTAATTATTTTGGGTTTATACTCAGTATTAGAATTGCTAGATCATATGTTACTTGTATATTTAATTTTTTTAAGCAACTGTCAAATTATTTCCCATAGCAGCTAAGCCGTTTTATATTCACACAAGCAGGGTACAAACATTCCAATTTTTATACATCCTCATCAACATTTCCTAGAATCATTCTGAGAAAGAAATGAAATAGTGAATACAAAAATATGCCATATAGAATGTGAAGTCTACATTATTATTGCATACTTTATAACAGAAACTGGACAGTGTCCTGCATTTTTTTGTTTTGAGCATAGAGAAAATGAGATATATTGTAAAATATGAAATTTGTATTGTTGATGAAGAGAATTATTCTTTTGGAATTCTTTTGATACTTTAGGGATTGATGAACCATTGCATATCAAGAGAAGAAAAGTAATAAAACCAGGTTTCATACACAGTCCGTGGAAAAGTGCATACATCAGACAGCACAGAATTGATACAAACTGGAGGCGAGGAGAACTCAAATCTCCTAAGGTAACTGGACTCTTCCACAGAAATCATTACTCTATGGTGTAATACCTAATGTATTGTTTTACTTCTTGATGAGCAGTATAACTTCATGCATATCTTCTGTGGAAAGAAAATTGTGTTTTAAAATAACTGGAGATATTTACGTAAAAGATGAGTTCAGGTGAATTGATTGTCTTTCTCTCTTATGTAAATGAAAATCTCTGAATATCCTTTTGAATTTTATTGTGTTATATACATTCTCCCTCAGAATTTGCCAGTCCCCTAAGACTACACTCCAAATGTGATTTCTTTTTTTTTAAGGACCTAGATTTTGATTTTTGGTGGCTTTTCTATGTTATATTTTTATAAATTGAAGCATAATTCTGATATTCTGTATATTTCTACATTGTGTTTTAAGTATGTAAGAGTGGTAAAAATGTTAAAATTCTTAGATATATTTTTATAATAAAAAACAATTTGGGGAGACTCTGTATTAACATATATACACCATGGTAAGTTTCTTTGTTTTAATTTGAAAAAGCTGATGACTATTACTATTTTCTTTCTAGTTAGTAGGTGCTTTCTTTTGTTCTTGTGTATTAAAGTTGCAAAAATAAGATGCATTTTTGGGGGGGGGTTAAATAGGTAAAATAGATGATCATAAAATGTATTTGTGTTTAAACCATCTTTATGAGGTCTTGACTCAGTATTTTAATAGCAGACGTTTCAGTTACACAAATAATAGAATATGGAAATAATAAAATATTTAATGCTTGATTCATTATTTAGGAAGGATAATGCTGCATATTATATGTAGATTTTTTAATATAGATATATATTTTTTAGTTGTAGTTGGGCACAATACCCTTATTTTATTTATTTCTATGTGGTGCTGAGGATTGAACCCAGTGCCTAGCATGTGCTAGGTGAGCGCTGTACCTCTGAACCATAACCTAGCCCTGTAGATTTTAATTCTAGAACTAGATGATGATGTTGTTCCCATTTTTGGCTTCATTTGTTTTTTCACTGGTATTTTGAAAACATAATATAATGGCTTATTTCTGATTTATACATCTGTTTGATAGGTGCTGAAAGGACACGATGATCATGTGATCACATGCTTACAGTTTTGTGGTAACCGAATAGTTAGTGGTTCTGATGACAACACTTTAAAAGTTTGGTCAGCAGTCACAGGCAAAGTAAGTTTACTTCTTTCTACACCTCATAAATTTGCCATTGTGTTTATATCACCACTAGGATCAACCAGTAAAGCAAGGATCCTGTTTTGATCCTAACTTAGCTCCCCCATAATAATGAAAGTCTCAAAGTTTTTCTGACTGGTATTTTAAAATTTTTCAGATGTGTTTTCTTTTTCATAGCTCAGTTTTTCCCACCTTTCCCATCAAATTATACTTAATTTATTTTAAATATCTTTCAAGAACATGATTGAGTGATATTTATTTTTCCTTGTAACCTGTTTTGTTGATAAGTTGCCTATAATTTAGAACTTAAGTATATCTTGCTCATCTAGAGTTATCTCAAGCTCTCATGATATGGAAGTTAAGCAGAGTGGATATTTATATAATATGGGTTTGAAGAAAAAAGACCAAGCAATATCTTAACTTCATATAATATTATATCCTTAAGTATTATCTAGTGAATATTTATTGTTATCATCTATAGGAGAATATTTTCATGAATTAAGTAACTGGCCACCTAACAAGTAACAGAAGAGTGTGAAAAAAAATCCATGTTTTACAAAATGTCTTTACCATATTGCTTCTTGGACAAGAATCTTATAAATATTCCAAGTCAGATGTTTTTTAAAGCAGCTTCATATTTCCATGGGGTAATATTAGTTTTGGATTTATTACAAGGTTTTAATGTCTGTCTTTACTTGTCTTGAAGTAGCTTGGCTAGCTCTTAACTACTGCTTGGGGCATATTCAGATAAACTGTGGTATGTAGCCACACCCAACTCTGTTGGCTTTCTTTCATTGAATCTATTCCCATGGAAGAAACCAAGTTGCAATTTTAGTATTATTTCATCAAGAAGGCCAGGCTGAAGCTATCATGCTTTGCTTTCATCTCATATGTTTGCTTTCTGTTGTATCACATGTTTTATATTGTATGATTCTTATCATATGTTTCTTATCAATGGTTGCTTTCTACATATTTGTTTCTCAGTTGTGTGTGCATATTTAAGTATGTTATTCTACTGAATAAACAAAGCAGTATAGACTAGTGAGGTCTTATTGTAGTCATGAGTAAAATTTTTTTTTCTGATGCTTTATCAAATTGATAAATAACTTATTAAAGATTTTAATGAGCTATTATAATAGCATTTAAATTACTTTCCTTTCCCCCACAAATTAACCACCCTAAGTGTTTTTCCAGTGTCTGAGAACGTTAGTGGGACATACAGGTGGAGTATGGTCATCACAGATGAGAGACAATATCATCATTAGTGGATCCACAGATCGAACTCTCAAAGTGTGGAATGCGGAGACGGGGGAATGCATACACACCCTGTATGGGCATACTTCCACTGTGCGCTGCATGCATCTCCATGAGAAAAGGTAAAGGGAAAATCCAACATGGTCGGGACTTTTTTCTCTGTCACTTGTGAATTTGGTTCCTTTCTGTGTGACGTTGTTGAGATTGTGATAATGAACTCCTAAATTAGACTTTGATTATTAGACTGTAGCTGTTTCTAAACTGAGAAAGCCATAACATATTGGCTTAAAATTGGGGGTTCGTCTTTCAAATTCCTCCTTCATTTGATTCCTGGGCTTCCCTCAGAGACTCTACTCCCTAATCATTTTCTTATTCTTTGATGATTCACCATCTTTAAACAAAAATTGTTTTCTCTCTGGGTATTCATGTTTTTGCAGATGGAACAAATTCAGTCACTTAGGCTTCAGTTTAAAACTCTGCACCTTTTTAATTATCCACTCACCTTCACCTCACTGTATCACATCCCCTAAATCAAGAAAAAATCTAAGGCCTGTGGGTTATTTTCTCATTTCCTGTCCTCAGAACAGTAGCCATAGTTTTCAGACGTGGCCATCTCATCTTTTCTACAGCTGACAGGGAGCCTTTCTATAATTATAGTAGCATCACTGTGCACTTCTTACATCTCTGGGAGGCTACAGTTGCTACTGTTAAAGGAAAAAATCCTCAGTGTAGTTTTCACAATGCTTTCAGCTAAACTGGACTGCTTGCCTTCTCCTTGGCTCTTTTCTCCTCCTGGAACACATCCTGTTAAATCCGTGTTTTTGTTGATATCTTCATTATTAAGTAAATGTATTTTTAAATTTATTTTTAATTGGTGCATTATAGTTATACATAAAACTGGAATTCATTGTGATATATTTATACACGCATATAACATAGTTTAGACAATTTCATTTCTCAGTTTCTCCTCTTTGCCATCTGCCCTCTATCCCCTTCCTCTACTATACCATTCTCTCTTCTATTTTCATGAGATCCCCTTTCTTTTCTTTTTGATTTCTTATTTCTCTCTAGCTTTAGCATGTGAGAGAACTTTTGACCCTTGACTTATCAATATCTTTTCCAGTTCCATCCACTTACCGGTAAATGACATAAATCCATTCTTTATGGCTGAGTAAATTCCTTTGTGTATGTATACCAAATTTTCTTTGACCAGTCATCTATTGAGGGACACTTAGGTTTATTCCATAACTTGGCTATTGTGAATTGCTCTGCTGTAAATATTTGTATGCACATATCATTATAACTTTAGTTCTTTTGGATAAATATCAAGAAGTGGTCTAGCTGGGTCATGTGGTAGGTCCATTCTTAGTCTTTTGAGGAATGTCAATAATGCTTTCACAGGGGAAGTTGCAAGCAAATGTGTTTTCTATTTCATTTGTCAAAAAAAAAAAAAAATCTCCTGAAGTGAATTCATTGCCGTCTTCACTAGCAATTCCCCCTCCCCCACCCAATGCTGGGATTGAACCCAGGGCCTTGCACATGCTAGGCAAGTACTAAATACCATTGAGCTACATCCCCAGGCCCTATCCACTGCAGTCTTCACCTTAAATTCTGTCCATAGCATCTTCTTTACTAAGTAGACTTGGCCCTAGTTTTGAATATATTCTGGGCTTTCCCACGTCCCATTCCAATCAGAATAACTCAATACCGTGTTTATGAATCAAGGTTTTGCATAGGATTTCTTGTGAAAACGTGTTCCTGCTTAAGAAAAGAAAAAAGAGTTTAAAAAACATTGACTTCATCTGTCATGTTTTCTGATGTTATTAAAATTTAAAAAAAATTTTTTTTTCTTTTTATCCCTTTACAGAGTCGTTAGCGGTTCTCGAGATGCCACCCTTAGGGTTTGGGATATTGAGACAGGCCAGTGTTTACATGTCTTGATGGGTCATGTAGCAGCAGTCCGCTGTGTTCAGTATGATGGCAGGAGGGTTGTTAGTGGAGCGTATGATTTTATGGTGAAGGTATGGGATCCAGAGACTGAGACCTGTCTACACACGTTGCAGGGGCATACCAATAGAGTCTATTCATTACAGGTAAGAGATCTTATCTCCCCATCCCTTTGATGCTCTGCTGATGAGTCATAAGATTATTTTCCTTGGATAATCACTGTCAAATTACTGATCCAATACTGTCCAAAAAAGGTGAATCCAATTAATCTGCCATTTACATGTACTTCAAAATTAGCATGAAGTACATTTCTGTGCTCCATTCTCCCTCTAAAATACACATGCTTGTCTTGGAACTTGAGACTTTGCTGCCCTAAGTTTGCTGTATTAATTAATAAGTAGTCTCATAGGAGAGTAACCTGGATTTTAATAAACTCCTTAGCAGATGATTAATTTGRCCAAAAGCTGTCCCTTTGCCTTGATAGTTAAAAGTTGATGGACCATGTAATTGTGATTACATCCCCATTCAGAGTAGAAGTGGAGCCTTTCTGTATAAAGCTATTCCACTGTCCCAGGGCCACTGATTTGCAGTCATAAGAAGTAACTTTGACTCACCTGATTTTTTGTTTATTTAACATTTGAACCTGACATCCATGAATAGTTGTTAAATTTCAAGATAACTGACTAATAGCTTTAGTTCCTAAAAGGCAGTATTCTCAATTTAAAAGTAGCTTCTATTGCTTAAATAGTTTATTTACTAGTTACCACCCATTAATGATCAGGAAATTAGTACATAATCCCAGTACTGACATTGCTGTTCTGTTCTTAAGGTATTTGTTTCTTAACTGATAGGATACTGTTCCTACCATGTAATATTGATACACGGTAAACATGTTTGTCAAAATAGGAAAGGTGATGAATTTGAAGCAGAGGGAATTAGCTGCATTTTTTTGTTTTGTTTTGTGATATGCTCAGAACCTGGTATAGCTAGGAAGCTGGAGAAGAAATGCTGTATATCTTGCTTTTGTTATCAAAATGCCACCCCTTCTAATTCCACATACAATTATATTTTGGCATATTTCCTATTTAGTTTTATGTTCTTGTAAATGAAACTTTTATTTTACATGCAGTTTTTAATAAAACTTTCTTGTGACCATCAAGCAAGTTACCTCTAGCCCTTTTCATGATTCATGTACTAATCAGCACCCTCTTTATTGTAAGCCATGTCATTAGGTGCTACTGGGCATAAAATGCAAGCGTTCTGATAGATGTGCCTGAGAACCTGCAGTGTATCCTTTCTTGATGACATTCATTTCACCATGGTTGCCCCTTAGTCCTAGTGCCCTGTTTTGTTCTTGCCTTGCATGTTGCCCACACTGTCCCCTCCTCCCCTATTAGAATTAAGGTCAATAATTGATAGGAAGCATATCCATACTGCTGCTGCTCTAATAAGCTGTGTCTGTTGTAGTTTGATGGCATCCATGTGGTGAGTGGATCTCTTGATACATCAATCCGAGTTTGGGATGTGGAGACAGGGAACTGCATTCACACATTAACAGGGCACCAGTCGTTAACAAGTGGAATGGAACTCAAAGACAATATTCTTGTCTCTGGGAATGCAGATTCTACAGTTAAAATCTGGGATATCAAAACAGGACAGTGTTTACAAACATTGCAAGGTAAGTGTTGGCTATCCACCTTTATTTGTGTTCATTAAAAAGATGATTGCTGCTCAGGCAGAAATGCTTGCTCCAGATATGTTTATGATAATGTTCACTCTCACACCACTAGGCACCCTTGAAAAAGTGTTTAAAGTTGTTTTAATATAAAATGGTTGAAGTACTTTGTACCTGTTTACTTGACTCAACCTAATCTTAAAGAACAGTGAGAAGAGAGAACGTTCTTGGCTGTCTCACAGAAGCAACATACTCATTTTAGTTGTGGAGTGATTATTTTATTTTGAATTTAAACATCTTTGATAGAAAATTGTTTTGACTTCCACTTAGCCACYTGCTAAACTGGAATGGAATAGAATAATAGTTCCCATTGAAATAGACAGGGTACATGTGAGAATTGTTAATAGCAGACGAGATATACCAACAGTAACTTCTTCGTGATGATCTTTTTTTTCCCCCTTTGGTGCTAACCCTTAGAGTCTTTTCATTGAGGCCATGTGGCGGGCAACTTTGCAACTTGTTGTTGTTTGATTTTACCTCTTCCTCAGAGATTGATAATAGTATCCATTCAGCTTTCATCTTTGGTCAGTTCCAAGTGGTGATAAATCTGTTAGGCTCATTTGTCCCTCAGCAGAACATATGAAGCTGCAGTGCCTACATCGTTGCCAGCAAATGCTCTTATTCACACAGCCAGAAAATAAAATGTGTGCCTGGTAGCTAACCAGGCTTCCTGGAAGACAGAACTCTTGAAAGTTAATGTTATAGTTACAGATAGCTGCCAGATTTTCTTAAATCCATGCTGATCCTAAAATACTCATAACAAAGTTTCTAAATATGTAACATTTTAAATGTTGCATTTATTGTATATTCTAATGTAGAAGTCTGCAAATTATAATGTAACTAACCCATAGCCTTGATTTCTAACCAGCAATCAAATTCCTTTGGTTTTGTCTAGGTCCCAACAAGCATCAGAGTGCTGTGACCTGTTTACAGTTCAATAAGAACTTTGTAATTACCAGCTCAGATGATGGAACTGTAAAACTATGGGACTTGAAAACGGGTGAATTTATTCGAAACCTAGTCACATTGGAGAGTGGGGGTAGTGGGGGAGTTGTGTGGCGGATCAGAGCCTCCAACACAAAGCTGGTGTGTGCAGTCGGGAGTCGGAATGGAACTGAAGAAACCAAGCTGCTGGTGCTGGACTTTGATGTGGACATGAAGTGAAGAGCAGAGAAGACAAATTTTGTGTAGACGATATACTCCCTTCCCTTCCCCTGCGCAAAAAAATAAAAAATAAAAAATAAATAAAAATAAAAAATAAATAAAAATTTAAAAAAGAAAGAAAGAAAAAACAGAAAAAAAGAAAAAAGAAGAGAAAATGAAAAAAAAATCCCTTGTACTCAGTGGTGCAGGATGTTGGCTTGGGGCAACAGATTGAAAAGACCTACAGACTAGGATGGAAAAGAGGAAGAGAAGACAAACCGTAACTGACAAGAGAGGCGTCTGCTGTCTCATCACATAAAAGGCTTCACTTCTGATTGAGGGCAGCTTTGCAAAAGAGACTTTCTAAAAACCAGGTGCAATTATTTCTTTATTTTCTTCTCCAGTGGTKGTTGGGCAGTGTTATGCTGAAACATCGTTACCAATTCTGCTCGCCTGTTCTTTTGCCACTGTCACCTAGAAAGGAGCTGCAATAATATCAAAACAAGTACTGGTTGACTTTCTAATCAGAGAGCATCTACAACAACCACAACAAAAGATTCTCCAGTGGAAAAGCTAGGAAAAAAAAAAAGAAAAAAATTACTGTGAATTGTTTTTGTACAGGTATCATGAAAAGTTTTTTTTATTTTATTTTTATTTTTTATTTTTTTGCCAACCATTGCCAATGTCAATCAATCACAGTATTAGCCTCTGTTAATCTATTTACTGTTGCTTCCATATTCACTCTTCAACGCATATTGTTGCTCAAAGGTGGCAAGTTGTCCTGGGTTCTGTGAGTCCTGAGATGGATTTAATTCTTGATGCTGGTGCTAGAAGTAGGTCTTCAAATATGGGATTGTTGTCCCACCCCTGTACTGTACTCCCAGTGGCCAAACTTATTTATGCTGCTAAATGAAAGAAAGAAAAAAAGCAAATTATTTTTTTTTATTTTTTTTCTGCTGTGACGTTTTAGTCCCAGACTGAATTCCAAATTTGCTCTAGTTTGGTTACAGAAAAAAGACTTTTTGCCACTGAAACTTGAACCATCTGTGCCTCTAAGAGGCTGAGAATGGGAGAGTTTCAGATAATAAAGAGTGAAGTTTGCCTGCAAGTAAAGAATCGAGAGTGTGTGCAAAGCTTATTTTCTTTTATCTGGGCAAAATTAAAACACATTCCTTGGAACAGAGCTGTTACCGCCTGTTCTGCGGAGAAACTTTTCTTTTTGAGGGCTGTGGTGAATGGATGAACGGACATGAGAAAACTGACAGAATATTTTAAAAATTGAAATAAAGTTGCTGGTCAGTCTTAGTGTTTTACAGTATTTGGGAAAACAACTGTTACAGTTTTATTGCTCTGAGTAACTGACAGAAAAGGAACGATTCAGTCTCTAGTGACGGCGTCACGCGCAAACCAGCGCGCCGAGTGACAAGTCCAATGGTTCGCCTCCTTCTCCAGGAGCCACGACTCAAGCTGAACTGTGAAAGTGGTTTAACACTGTATCCTAGGCGGTCTTTTTTCCTCCTCCTGTTTATTTTTTTTTGTTGTTGTTGTTGTTTTATTTATAGTCTGATTTAAAACAATCAGATTCAAGTTGGTTAATTTTAGTTATGTAACAACCTGACATGATGGAGGAAAACAACCTTTAAAGGGATTGTGTCTTTGATTTGATTCACTTAGAAATTTTATTTTCTTATAACTTAAGTGCAATAAAATGTGTTTTTTCATGTTAGTATGCCTGTTTCTTCCACCAAGGTAATACTATTTCATAAATATTTAGGCTCTAATATTTAAAACTGCACAGTCTTGTTGGTTTCTTCACATTCCCTATATGGTGACACAGAGATGATTACTTCAAGCCTGTTTGAAGCAGCTAAAGTAAGGGTGAGATACTAAAATGAGGTTTGATATATCCCCCTACACTATAAAGGAGGACACTCCACTGTGCTTCTCTGTGATATAAGAATATGGTCCCCTCAAAGAGTCCCAAAACTTTTCTGATAGTTACAACTGGACGTTGTATAAATAATAAGTACATTTGAAAATTATCCTCGAATTTGGTACTTGCCAGGTATTTGCTATGTATTCTCTCAAGCTCCCAGCAGCCCTGAGAAGTAGGTACTAGGACCTGCATCTTAAAGAGGAGCCAAGAGCTGCAGCTTGGACTGGTCAGGTGATTTGTTATTCATATATAACTAGCAGAACACTAGGAGTCACACTGTTGTAAGGACTAGATGTCTGATGTCCTGTAAGAAATTCTGGCAAACTAAAGTAAGGTTTGAGGAGTTTGTCATTTTTATGATACGTTCAGACTCTTCTGGTTGCCATTTTGTTCAATAAATCTAGTAAAGGTAGGGGGAGTTCAGTTATTGAAACTATGTAGCTCTAAATATATTCAGTACCTCAAATTACCTGGGGATGCTCAACACACACGATAATCTCAACTATGCCTGCCATAGACTAAAATCTCAGCGTTAATAAAAATGGATTCTCATTAGAATGAGTTTCTTACAGTCATAAAGCCTGTTTTCATTACTCTTTGGAGCCTTATTTCCCCAAGGCTACTGAGTAGCACATCTGGGTCTGTGATCTTGGAGTAGCCAACATCTCTGGTCCTCAGTCTTCAGCTTTCTCCTACACAAAAGCAGAGATGCAGTGGCCAGGGAGGCAACCATTACTGCTCACATCCTGAGCCCTAAAGAATCTACATTTGAACAAGCTCACCAGGAGAGTTATAGATGCTGTACTTGTAGAACCAGTGCCTTAGGTACCTGTGTTCTGGTATGTTTGGTTTATTTGGCCTCAGCAGATTGCAAACATAAGAACAGATGGGAAAAGTGATGATAAGGGAAAAGAATGGAAAACATCATGATCAAAAAGCAAGGCAGAAGGTCATGATGGTCAGGCCAGGCGAGCTGGGAGAGCAGCCTTGCCCCCCCTCCCGCCCCCAATGTAGGGAAAACCAGGCCCAGCCCAGAGCCACAATTGCTGTTTCCCTTGATGACTCGAATTGGCAGAAGCTGTAATTCTATTTGATGGTCCTTGAAACTGCTTGATTTTTCATAATGCCATACAAACAAGGCTTAACTATAATATAATTGAAAAAAATCTATTTTTTGAACATCATAGAAAACAGAATGAGTTGATGGGCTTTATAGACAACCAGGACTAAGTTCAAGTAGGCCCAGTTCTAATACTGTTCTGTTACTGGGATCCTTATCAGGTTTCTTCACCTCATGTGTCCTCATCTTGTAAGATGTAGAAGAGTCCCATCTCTTGAGGTTCATGTAAGGATTAAATGGGATGTTATAAAGCACAATAGCACTTAAAACTAATGGCACTTAAAACCCTGAAAATGATAGCAACTATTAAATAGTTCCAGATGGAGAACAGTGGAATGCTTGTGACTCATTCATGAATATAAAAAGATACATAGATACATATACACATATATAGGTATATATGTGGCATTTATATGTATTATGTATATAAAACTAACATACCATATATCTATAGCAGTTTGCATTCTTTTGAGTCACACAGTCTCATGGAGTCTTTTAGAAACTTTGTGAGAGAAACTGGTACTAAGCACCCAATAGTGACATTGTATATACCCTGGTATTCAATAATATTGTTTTAGGAATTCATGAATAATGTTTATTACAGTGAATCTGTTCCTAAACCTTATTCTAAACCTTATTCTAAGGTTCCTAAACCTTATTCTAAAAAAATTTATTATAATTTTAGTAAAATAATAAAAAGTCATTAAGGCAACCTCATATTGTGGCTTCCATGAAGAAATTTACTTCCTTATATAGCTGTACAATTTTAAATCTTCATAATAGAATACACACAGTCCTCATACAGAGGTGTTAAAATTTCCCAAAGACCAAGCATTGCCTGAAACTAAAGCTAAAATTGGGACACAAAAGTAACCCGTGAGCATCCATAGCAAGTGCTTAGTAAGTACTGTTGAATACAGTAAAGAGAGTGCACTATCTTATTTCTTACTGGAATTGTTCATAATTTTGACATTTGGAAACCCCCTTACTGAGATTCAGTTGCCACAGCTAGTGTCCTCCAAACTTTCAACCTATTTAATTTCAAAAAAGTAATTGACTTTGTTTGTTTGTTTATAGTACTAGGGGTTGATCCCAGGAGTGCTGTACCTCTGAGCTATATCTATAACCCCTTTAACATTTTATTTTGATACAAAGTCTTGCTAACTTGCTGAGGCTGGCCTCAAACTTGTGATCCTTCTGCCTCAGCGTCCCAAGTGGCTGGGATTACAAGCACACTCCACCTCGCCTGGCAGTAATTGACATTTATTTAATTACTCATATTTAATATTTTTAAGTCATTTTCTCTGTCCCTTTCAAGCTAGTCAGTTATAAATTCTTGTATTTCTCTGAAGTGATTTGATGCTACAGTCAAACCACATAAAAGACCTGTATATTCTCTTCTCCCTGAAGTGAATGGGGTCACGGGTGGCTCCCCAGATCCAGCTTTCCAATTTCTCTAGACCCTTCCTGGAAGCAAATTTAGACACATTATGAGACCCTGTCTCTGCTCCTGTAACTCCTGTGTGAAAACCAAAAGCATGCAGCCCTGCCCCTTCACAGAGGGGGAGTAGATGCACATGCCGTTAGTTTTTCCCCCTGATTGAGTCCCTCGGGATGGTGGAAAATTTCTGAAAACTTTCTTCTCCGTCAACAGCTCCCCCCAGACACAGATTTCTTCCTTTTCTTTCTCTTAGTCATCTCTTATCATCCCCAATAAAAATCAGGGATGTAACCCATACTCCCTTGGGTTCTTCAGTCAATGAAGGATCCAACCCCGTTATCCTGCGCAGTCCTGTGCAGGAGAGCGACCTGTGTTGAGCCCATTCCATGATCCTCCTAACAAGAGAGGGCTCTGTGCTGCTGACAGATGAGTGAAGTTAAATGAGTGTTTCTGACACAGTTATTTCAATGTTCCTGCCTGACTGTATTTTGAAGATTGTGTTGTGCATGTGTGTGTAGATACACTTCTGGATATAAGAATATATTGGAAACTAGGAATAAGTCTCTTGTTCTCAGTGAATCATAATC